AACTTCACATCGCAGAACAATTTCATAGATTTCAGGGTCGAAGGGACCTATTAGATCATCGAGTCCAACCCCCTTCCCTGGGCAGGAAAGCGTGCTGGGGTCACCCCAGCCAGGTGTTGGTCGAGTCTCCTCTTAAATAACTCCAAGGAAGGGGCACAGTACCACCTCCCTTGGAAATATATTCCATATTTTGGCAAAATATGGAATATTTTGGCAAAATACAGAATATGGAGTTTCCCCACGATGTGGGGGAGCCGTATCACAACATAGATCTATGGAATTCTACCATCCTCAGTCTCAATCAAATGATCTCTCTATTTTTAATTACTGATCTAATCATCAACCCAAAAAGCTAACTTCCCTCCTACGTATTTGTTGAGAGTGAAAGCCATCTTATAATGAACAAATCCCTGTTAGAATGATCACCAAGCCTCATAAATTAACTTGCACATCTCTTAAGTGTGCCTTTATACCTATTTGTGCAGTATCTAGCACAACCGGCCCTCGAAGCTCAGGGGGCTCAATGTTACAATAATAAAATTTGAAAATACATTAATAAATTTCAAGAAAACGAACCTTTCACCATCTGTTCCGTAAACCAAAAAATCTAGCATAATTCTCAGTTGCATTATAAACTGAAAGGTAAGTGAATAAAATGCCCGTGTGTATTCTTCATTCATACTATTATGATAAGAATGTGGTCTGGTTTTCTCATTTACCAGACATAAATCAAAGGAAAAGCTACTCTCTCCTGATCAAATCGATTCCCCAAAACAGTGATTTTAAACCCAATCTAGTAAGTTCCCTGAAACAGTGATTTTTTTTTGTTATGGTAAACTGGTTCAGTCATGGTTTCAACAAAATAAGTAGACCGTATATTGTAGTCATGTAACGTTCTTATGTCCTCGACCAGATTTGTTAAATTGTACCCTGGGAGTTACGCAAATGAAGGTGTTTGGCCAAAATGTTACAGGATCACTTTAAAATACATTTTCTTTTTCAAAAATAATGTCATTAAGTGTGTTAAAATTGCAGGGTCTGATACCAAATACATGTGCTTTTGCACGGTGAACATCTCACCAGTGGTAACACATACTACGTTGCATTGTCACTGGTTTTGTGGCTTTCTGTGACAAATGCCACTTCTTCTCTAATTTATCTGGAACCCCAAGTAGCTTTGTTGTTGTACTGGAAATGAAATGAAGTGCAGGTAAGTCGCCAACCACAGTAGTGGGTTCATGGTGCACAACAAACAATGAGTCACTGCTGAGCGTTTGCAACATTTATCCCGCTATCGTCCTTTAGCTTAATGCAGTATAATTGTCTCATAGATTTTCGTACTACAGTTGGACAACTCAGATGCATCTCATGGTATATTTCATCTCCTGGATCTGCAGTGATTTACATATGGACAGCTTAACCCTCATTAAATCTAATAAAAGAAAAGCAGGGAATCCTTAAAGCATGCACTTTGTTAAATTGTACATCGCTTTCTGCAGAGCACGGAGAGGCTCTGCCTGTGTATGTCCTCAGAGTCAAACGTAGGAGCAAATATTCAAATCCAGCCACCTCCTCTCTGCCCCTGTCTTTCTCCGTACATGTATATGGGCACAATGTGGAGCAGGAAATAGATTTAAAAAAAACAGCACAGCTCACCTCCTCAACTCTCAGTTCACCTTATCATTTCTTCTGTTTTCATTCCCAGGTATGGGAGCTGTTTTCTGTCTAAATGTCTGCATCCATTTCACAGCTGAAATCAAGCTGCCCTTTCTGACTGTTCCTGCTGCTGCTCTGTTTGGGTCCCACCGTGTTGGGCCCATAGCTGTTAGGGTTCCCATGGAGTTGGGTATTTTCCTGCACTGTGTTTCTTTGACCTCTTTTGCACACATCCTGGTTACAGATGGTCTGTTGGCCCTTCGCCAAAGTGGGACCTTATGGTCCAGCTGCCCTGTGCCCCTGAGGAGCAGTGCAAACCCCCACAAAGACACCCCAGTTCCTTACCCACATCTTGTTTCCTTTGTTCCGTACTTGTAGGCACTCTGGTTTATAGTTTATCTTTTCAGGGATGTATAGCAGGTGCAGTATATACCACCCAGATTTTACAAAAGTTTCTGAGACAGTAACTCTTCAGAGAGCACAAGCAATGTGCAGATCTAGAGCGTCTAGGTAAAAACAATAAAACACCTGTATGCCCATCCCCTGCCTCAGTTTCCTTTCCTTACCACTCCTGTGTTTCAGGGGTGTGGGTTGGAGCCGTGTTGGTCTAAGGACATAGGCAGACAAGATCCTTTGGGTAAATCTGATATCTTTTATTAGACCAACTCAAATACAGTTGGTCTGTTAGAGTTGGTCTGATAAAAGAAATTGGAGTTGGTCTAATAAAAGATATCAGGTTTACCCAAAGTACCTTGTCATACCACTTCTGACCATTTCTGAGACTTTCACCAGGGCCTTTTAGGGTGTCCAAGATGCCACACCTACCCATGGGTTCTCCTCTGAAACTCCTGCTCCAAGCCTCTTGGTCCTTTCATTCTCCAGTTTGGTAATGTTCGATAGTCCACTTCCTGCTGGTAAACCCTGTTAACATGATAGTGTGTTCAGCCCAGAGGATATAATTAAAATTTAACAATTTCTTGTGTCTGAACGAAGCTACAGTACAAACAAGGCAGGTGAATGTGTCAGAGACCTTGCTTGCCCATGGCTAGCCATCTGCACATTGAGGTGTTCACTGATGCATCAATTCTGTGAAATTACAGAATCTATGAGTTATACCCGAGACTGAGTCCCCAAACTATTATCAATTTTGGTAAGGAAACTCCTGTTCTCCTTCCAGCCTTCTTAAGGAAAGGGTCACTTAAAACAGAAGGCCTAGCAATGCCTTCGAGAGGCTTTCAGACTTATCTTCATCCTGCTTTCTGTTGATAGGTCTATCTATGAGCATGCATTTTTATTTATGAAAAACATTTTTGCTAAGGGTTGAGCTTCTTGAATGGAGCTACTTTCTGCAGCATTTCACCTATGTTCGATCCTAGACCACTGCCCAGTAACCAGAGTGAAAGCTGGCCCCTTAAAATGTGCCATCTTGAGATCCAGGGTTCTGCAAGCCAAGTTGAAAGTTAGTTGTTTGCACCCAAAAATTCACTAATGCAACTGGCTAGGTGCTTGTCTGGCATGGGCAGGTTGAGGGCACGTAGAAAGTGTCCCTTGTACCTACTCTAAACTGTCATGCAAATGTAACTCCACTTGGTGGTTCTTGGTACTAACAAGCTGAATAAGCAGTGAATCCTGCAGCGGAGAGACTGATGAGCCTTCCCATCTTCACTCACCTTCTGTCCAGAAACATAGGTCCAGAAAGAATCAATCCTGGTCATTTCTAGTGATAACTAAGATTAATAGCTGTTAAAGGTAGCAGGCTGCTACATGGAATCAGTCCACAAAGACAGGATGCAAATGAAGTACCGATTCTGGGCAAAGGCACAGAGGATACTCAGAGTTGCTCATCTACGTTCTTTTATTATCGCACCCCCAGCATCTTGTCAGACCTGAATCAGGAGACGAAAGTGGTACCAGTAGGTTCTGTCTAAGAGGGTATCTGAATAGTAGCCCACCCCCTTTCCAAACTCTGTTCAATAAACCCACCCTCCTCTCCCCTGGCAAACCACCTCCCATCACCTAGAATAGGAATTCTTAATTTGTGCTTCCTGTGTACTGTATTAAAGTGCTCAGGCTTTTCAGAGACTGCAGCTGCCATATCAAAGGCATATGGCTACAAGATGGATTTCTATTATCTTCCCACTAATTTATTGCATACAGAAAGCTGGAAGGGAAGGAATATACACATGTCACCCTGATGCTCACCAGACAGTTTGTGACAGTGAGGGAGTGGGGGCTTGTTTATTTGCACCTTGTTCCTTGCCTTTTCCTTCAGAAAAAGGCCTGATGTTACGGGAGCTTCTTTAACTGGCTGATCTGAAAATTAACTAGATTTAAGATTTAAAGAGATAGTCAAGGTTGCTAGGGTAACATCTGAGCCTACTGTTTTATTTTCTTGTCTACGTGCTCAAAGTTCATGTAATGCTTCGTGCCAGATTTGATTTGTTGTGTATTTCTCAAGGTGTGGGAGGAAGGGAAGGAGTGCGTTTCAAAAGCAATGCTTCAATGCTTTTTCCCTTAAGAAATAATTCATTGTAATGGTGGCATCCTGAAAGGCATCTTCAACTCTGCATTAACAAGCTAGCAAGCTTGTATGATGGGTGACATAATGACCTGGATATTCAGCTATCCAGCTGCATGTGTGGGTGCAAAGCTAGAATGCCTGAAAGTCCAAAACTAATGATTGTGCACCTGTTTTTGAGGCCCTGTCTTCAAATGTCTTGAACAGGATTTTTTTAGAGGGTGGCCTTCCCGAAAGCTCAGTTTGCATCAAGGTGACTCCAAGGCATCCCTAGTCCCAAGACTTTTCATCACAATGAAGTGTGCATAGAATTATACGTCTAATTTTAAAGGCTTTGTTGCTGATTGATAATGCATATTTATATTGATAGTATTAGCGCACAACTCATATTTACATTTGCTCTGAAAGATACAGACCTGTATGCCCAACTTGAGGTCCATGCCAGGGTTTTCCAAGGAGCTTGGAACCCAGTTCCCCAAGACCACTTAAAAATCTCAGCCCTGGTTATTTGCATACATAATTTAATCATTGCAGTTGGCTGTGCAAGTGAATAAATTGTGCATGGAGTTCTGAGACTCGGGAAAAGCATGTCAGTCAGTTTTGTATTCTACTTTCCAGAGGGGCATTTGTAAAGAAGTGGGGGGCAAAATCCATTCAAAATTCTTAGACTAGATGGGTTTATGTCCAAAATTTGCTTATACAAATCACCGAGTGAAGTTTACAGCAGGCTTGCGGGATCGGGCTCGTACTGTAAAGCCTTTTGAGCAGTGATGCCATGACTCTTTCTCCATAACTAAATGATTACTATCCTTAATATTTTATCCAGATTCGTTCTGATAAGGACAGTGAGATCCACATCAGATACAGCATCACTGGAGTAGGAGCCGACCAGCCTCCTATGGAAGTCTTCAGCATTGATCCCGTATCTGGCAGGATGTACGTCACCCGTCCAATGGACAGAGAAGAAAGGGCTTCCTACCATGTAAGCACATGATGCCATGTCTTTTCAAGTGTTAGAAATGCTCTCTCCCGCCACAGTGCAGTTTTGTGGCTTGACTTCATGTGTGATTTCTTTTTGCTGAAAATTAGGACCAGGTTTACCTCTAAAATGACCAGAAGTAAGGAAAGGGAATGTAAGTATAGAACAGTTTCACATCCTGCTCCTCTCACTTTGCAGAGATTGGTGCTCTTTTCTGTGATAGAGATAAGTAAGGGCTGCATGGGTTTAATTAAAGGTAAGATATTGCATCTGTCTGTTTAACCGGTATAACTTTGTGTGCGTACATATGCATCTACATCCATTCCTGCTTTACCTTGCTTTCAGCTACTCTCATTAAATACACTGAATCACTGTAAAGTAGATTGACATGTGTACATGCTGTGTTACTACTTTACCTGAAATAGTGCATCAGTTCACCTTTAATTGAGGCATTGCAACTTTGTCTATAGGCCAAGCCTAAAACACTATGAGTCACCAAGAGCAATATTAACATGACATGGGAAGTTACTGATTGAGCAGTTACTACTCTGGGAAAACATGCAATGATTATTCTTGTCATTTCTCATTATACCTCCTAGCAAGGTGCTCAGAGAGTAAGATGGAACTGCTATATAAGTTATTAAGTGTTCAAATCAGTGATTCCTAACCAGGGGACTGCAGCACCTGGAGGGTACCTTGAAATCTTTTCAAGGGTGACATGCAATGGTAGGACTGTTGGGGGGGAAATGTGATTCACGAGATATATACCCAGAGATTTCGTAGTGTTCAAACATTCTCACCTGTCGTGGTCTTTCAGAGTTGTGTGCAGCAAAAGACTGCCTTGGTTATTTTATGTAGTCAGAAAACCAGTGAAGAGGAAGAGCTGGCATTTTGCAAGGGGTGCCTTAAGTCTAACAAGGGGTGCCTTGAGTCTAAATAGATTGAGAATTGCTGGTTGAGACAGATGAATATTAAAGGCAAGGGGATTCTTTGAAATGAGTAGCACGGAGAGGTTTCATAAACTTTCCTGACTCTCAAAATGCTCCACCTGCTAGACAGTGATCGGGCATTGTGTTTTAACCTGCATCACAGTTAGAGTCACTTCACTGCAAATTTAACCGCCTGGTAAATAAAGTCAAAGGAACTGCTAAAAATGGTATTGTGCCTCACACGATAGCCCTGCAAAACTTTGCTGCTACCTGCATCAATGCACTAGCTCTTCTCCACAGCCGCTACACAAGGCTGTCTCATAGATTGCTTTGTACCGGCATTAGACACCTCTACTGGCATCATAATAGCCATTCCTGGGGATGCTGTAATGTCAGTGCAATGGTATGGGTCACTTCCACTGACATCATATTCTTAACTGCTCTGTCGGAGATGCACACACTGTCAGCTTTATCAGGTATCTAGTTAACCATGTTGACACTGCTTCTGGACCGGGGTAGAAGGATAAAGAAAATAGATTACCTCTTTAGTTGGATGGAAAAAGAGATTTCCCCTGGGTAAAAGAGAATCCGAAGGAAAATTATTTTATCCTCTGTGAACAAGAACAATTATTTTGTCTGGTGTGCCCAGGAAAATATGAAGAGAAATTATTTTCAAAAAGGAATATTTGAGAGAGTCTGTGTTGCTTCAGTTTTGTCGATACCGTTTCAACGCTGCCAGGTCATTATGAGCGCGGAGTTGATATAATTCACAAGCTAACACCTTTGATGGAGCCATTATGATGTCTAGTATTAGATACTCGCAGCCAAAAAAAAATGACTTTGTCGCCCATAATAATGACTTATGTGACCCATAATCCTTAATAACAAATTTACCCTATTAGCTATACTGCATTACAGAAGTTTCAGGAAAGCTTGAAAAAGGCTGTGCAGCGGAGACTTGTACTTCTTCCTCTTCTCCCTCTGCCTTCCAAAAAGCCCTCACACTTTGAATTTCTAGCAACATTAACCAAATACAGCCACATTTTAAAATGCGGGGTCTTTTCTGTGCAGTTTATAAAGGGTTTATAAAGTATTACTGAGTACTGTTAGCACATTAAAAACAAGCAGAGTATGTACTCTTAACGGAGTGCAAGCTTGTCAGTGAGCGGTGTTGGTAACAATTGCTCAGAGTTATAAACCATCTTTGACCTGTTGAACTCTACAGCAATTCATTAATAATTTATTAAACCATCAATTATTTATTAACGCCTCGCCAGCCATTTATGAATGCAACATACCTAAAACAGCGATCCAAAATACAGTGGTGAAGCCAGGGTTTTATCATCATAGAGAGGCTGAACAGGCTCTAGGAGTTTCTGTGCTTGCCTTTTAATGCTCCACGTTAGAAAGACACTTGTCTGGTAAAACCCGCCTTTCTTTCTTGAGCTGAAGCAGATCCACTTTTAATTATTTTGGCAGTTCTGAAGCAGAACTCTCTCATCAGCTTGCTTAATCTTTCTTTAACTTTAGAGAGGATGGATTACCGTGGCTGCTTCATTATCTTTGTTACACATATGTCTTTTTGTCTACACAGCAGAACAGAGGTACGGTTGTAGCACATGCCAGCATATCTCTTTAGTTAATCACTCGCTAATAGGTGTAACGGTAGCACTGAAGAGGCTGTAGCATGGCTTTTAGCATTTGCTCACACCAGCAGGATTTTGCATAAGTGCTCTGGCTCTTAGAGTACGCTGCCGGTGTCTACACATTCATTAATGTGTCATAGTTACGGCGCATTAAGTTTAGTACTTGGATAACCAAGTAGTAAATCAGTGCACCGTAACTTGCACTACTGCGCAGTAGCGCTGGCACACAAGTTTTTAGTGACAGTTGCTGTGCAGTAGCCTAATGCTACTGTGCAATAGCGTATTAGCATGGTTTTTGCCCAGCAGGCTACCCCGCAGTGTTATTAGGATACTGTGCAGTTAGCATCTCATGTGGATGCACCCACTGTTGCCCGTTCTGCTGTATCTTCATTCACATTCTTGTCTGTGCTACCGTGCTTAACCTAGTACAGGTGGCTAACACATCACAACCACACCTTCATGGTCCTGTGTAAATATGACCTACTTTAATTACTGCCGAGTACGTTTCAGGAGGTAGCAGTATTTAACGTGGATTGTTTCTCCTGATCCTGGTCGTTTATTTCCCACCAGTCATGCTGTTGTAAATAATGGCTCTTCAGCTTGTCTTGGTGAACAGA